AGTGGAGTAGCAAACTTGTCGCTTGGTATTCTTACCACGTCTTAGTACATTTCATATAAGTGATCCATAAAAATAACACGTTTGTACAAATTTCAGCTATTCTACTCTCTAAATATAAAATACCATCAGTGTGTTCTTCACTGTCTATACTCGTCGATTAGCTCGGTTATAAGTATAGCACTGCAATCAGTAAAATTTCGCTAAACGGATTAGTTCATTCCATCATAAATGCAGGAAATTGAATTTGGCACAGCGTATAACGAATTAATGTACTACAGATTTTGCAATAAAATCTTACACTGCTAAAAATTAGTAAGACATCAAATCTTGAGTGGAAATTTAAAATGAGACCTGAAAAAGATCTATCTAGATTTTCTTCACTTTTGTTTAAGCACTGCAAAGGCAAGTTTACTTAAGCTCTACGCGGAAACGTAACACGTGTAAAAACCAGAGCTAGACTTTTAAATCTAACTAGGCCTTATTTTAGTATGCCCTCTATTTTCCCTTGACTTTGAGATGCAACTGTACCACTGATACGGTAACATTGTTTTTCTTTGTAGTCTATTTTGGCATGCCTAATTATGTTTATACTTAATTAGGTATTATGTTGAATTGTAAAATTTCGAAATAGTATTCAGAACAAAAATTTGAAATTTAAATGCAGACTTGTAGTCTGTTTGTGTAAAATTTTCGACATAAACACTATTTTTGAGAACTAAAATTAGTTATTTTGGTTTAATTTCAACCTCTTATATATCGTAAATTTTGTCTATTTAAAACCTTATTTTAAATTATTCCAGAAATTGATTAAATTATGCTCTAACTGAATCTTACAAGCACAAGCATTGTTATGAGCACTCATGTCTGTACCTATTCAGGGTCTATTTACTTTCCATTCAGGATTTACCTTTCTTGTGGGCTCAATAAAGGTAGAACTTGTTAGAAGTACCCACATCAATGCTTACTCAGAGCCCACTTACGAGTTTCTACTAAGAATTTGTCTTTTTTGGCTATATCTAGGCCCAACGATGACAGGCCTTGTTAGAGATATCTATGTCAGTACCTATTCAGAATTTATTTATGAATTTCGACTAACAACTTGTTTTTCTTGGCTATATCTAGACCTAACGATGGCAGGTCTTTTGGCCCATGCCTAGCTAGAGCCTTTACAGATTTGAGACACGTTCCGATTAATTTCTACCTGGGATAGAACAATGAAAATATTTCAACTGAAAATCAACGAACTTTCATTGATTATCAGTGATCTAAAGAAGTTCTACTTATTATAAGCGAGATACTTTTTTTATTAATTCACTTTTAGAGAATATCTCTCCAACGCTTTGTTTCTCATCCTCGTGTCTATTCTGTATACCTCGTATTCTCTCTTTGCCTCTCTTCTCTCTGCCATCTTTCTTCCTCTCTCATACACACTCTCTTGTCCCTTTCTCTCTATTTCTCTCACTCTCTCACTTTCACGCTCGTGAGTAAACATTTCGAGCGACTTTGAAGTCGTTCACTGGTTAAATAGCCGCGCGACCAAAGCAATTCCGTGTTAGAGTGTTTCGAATCAAAACACCCTCGAACTGTATTTAGAAGTGATTGTCTGTTTGAGCTTCGGAGATTGCCGGCTTCCCGATTGTTATTGGCGCGCAAGAGCCGAGAGGGAACATGCTCGTCGAAATGCAGCTGATTATAGAGCGCGTACTTTGATCAGATACAATAGTATGATAGTATGATACAAAATACGCACGTACGTAGTATGTACGTACGTATGTAATATAAAATACAAAATGCACATATGAACAGCCATCCATTCAGCCCTTGATAATTGGATATAAGGGACCTACCGACATATACGCCATCGAGAGCATACATATACAAACTCCGTTTACAAGCTTCAAAGATATTATTTTTGCTGATCATTCTGCCAACGAGTAAGTTACTTTGACCAAACAGGTAATTGAGTTGATTTTCAAGATGCGAAAGTACACTCGATAATATTGCAAGCCCTTGAAAGAAACAGAGAGAGAGAGAGAGAGAGAGAGAGAGAGAGAGAGAGAGAGCAAGTGAGCACGGAAGCGAGAAAGACATTTAACGAGCCTGTGACTGAGACTTGCAAGTACAACACTGGAGCTTACAACTTGCACGACTGAACGTTGCATTCTACTCGCGCCCGAGCTCCGAGGTGCTTAAATTTCAAAGCATGCAAAATTAGGCCTCTTTGAGTCGCTGATTCTGTACATTCTCGGTAACTCGAAAGAGAGGGCTGATTTGCATAAAACACGTTCCCAGGATGGTTACATGAAGTTTTGCGAAGGTTCGACCTCTCTTTTTCCAGAAAGACACCAAAAGCAATTTGAACAGAAATCGAAGCGAAGCCTTGATTACCAGCATGACTAACGAGACTTCGTTCTTCCTCGTGAACGAGAAGGGCCGTTCGTTCGTTCGGTCGGTCCTATCTACTCAGGATCGATTTAGCACAGCAGCGGCGTGGTCGCCGTGCCTAGCCGATTCCCCGACAATGAGAGATCGATTTCACATTTGTAATCGGGCGAGCACCGTGTCAACCTCCATCCCTAGGCTTGCTCTATCCGCTCTTAAAAAAGAGATAGAATAGCAATGCCACCGAAACGGAGTACCGACAAAGACCATTGTAACCCGCACGTAATCGCTGAAGTGAGAATTCAGGTCGCGAAAGCGAAAGGGGAAAAGGGACAGAGAAAAAGAGGAGATCGACGAATGCCCGTAGAGTCATAATCTGCTGTGAGCATTGGAGAAATAACTATACAGCGCGGTGGAACGCAAAGAAAACGGCCATGAAAAACCCCCAAAAAACTATACTTAACAAAAAGCGAGATGCTTTCATAGCATGCATCGCGTTTGTTAACGTTCCTGCGTGAGAAGAACGCGTTTATCAGTACGAACGAATCACGCGCTTAACAACACTGCAGAATGCAGTATCATTACGCGTTTTGGCTGAATTGTACGTGTAACCTTCATTGATCCGAAGTGTAGCTAGTTACGCGTGCAAACAGATTACGCGTGGTGAATGTTGCGAAGGATAAGCACGACAAGGAACACAAGAACAAATATTTGCCGCGATATATTGGAGACGCCATTGCTAGTAGGTCATTTTGGAGCTGCTACAACGACGACAACGACGTCGCGCATATATACGCTCGAGCATAAAGCGCATAGACGTAATAAAAGCTCCATAACTTAATACTCTTCGTGTACACGCTGTCCTTTGCACGCATCGAATAACGGCGGGATGCACTGTTAAAAGGTAGTCAACGTCGAGTGCATTCTTCTTCTCACACCATCAGCAGCCGGCGAGCCACCCCCCGTATGAAAAGCTTCGGCGCGACGGCGAAGAGAAGTAGTTATTCAATACATATACACCGAGAGCACTACTTTTGAAATATATTGCGCCGCAACGTGCGAATGTCAAAGATATCGTTTAAAGAGGCGTGCGATCGACAACGGATATTTATGTCTCGTATTCCCTTAAAGTGAATCCTTAAAGTAAAAGGATTACTTCACTGTTGATCCGTAAGTATTTTCTGATTTCCAATAAAAACGTTCCTATTTTACTGCTTCGTTTTAAATCTCACTTTATATCAGTGGCAATACGATTTTTTACCAGTAGAAGTTGTATCTTTTGTCTGTTTTCATGCGTCTCTTGTTTATTAAGCTTGACAATGTGTTATTTGCTTCTTGTTTCTTTTTCTTTATCTTTTTCTGACACACCTTAAGCTAAAAAAAGGCAGAGAACATTAGAGTAGATTAGGCTTTAGTAATCGTTTTGATTTCGTGTTTTCTGATTGTTCTTCCTATCTGTTCAGATACATATCCGTTTCGTCAAAGGGTGTTCTTGAGTTCGCTTTTTACATTGATCTAATCATAGATAGTGAAAATTCTGTGTATTAGAGAATCGAGGACTGACAATTTTTGTGATAGATGGTGGTCTGATGTGGCGTGAAGGTATCGGTTAACGTGTGTTGATTTACTGTAAACCTGTGTCCAACCATCTGATCTTTTTATGATTAGGATAGATTCCGATTTTCCGATGAAAGGTTTCAGTCTTTTGATCAAGTAGTGTGTCTATTTGAGTACATGGCGCTATCTGATTGTACTTTGGAAAGTACTAAATCATCATTATGATTTTTATGACGGTCAATGTTTCATAGGAGAATCGATTGTTGATATTGCAATTGTTTTAACTATGCTTATTGAATTATATTAATTTTAATAATGCTGTCTTAAATAAAGCTTATATGAAGATACGAACTCGATATGAGCCAGTGGTTTAAGAATCACACTGCCTAAACAACCTCTCAGAATATAACTGTACTTTAGAAGCGTTGTCTATGTTGTAGGTGCGAAACAACAAACATTGCTAACAAACAGAGCGCGTGTACATGTATATAAAATTTTATCCAATGCTTACATGTTCCCCCAGTGCACACACATGTATGTATACTTCGTAACATCAGAAGTTAAGTTTACGGGCGCAATGCGACATTTCGAAGTGAACGAAATGAAAGTGCTTGGCCGTTGAACAAGAAAGTACTCGATCTGTTTGATTAATCCGCAAATTGCTGTCCCCGTTTCTACGTCGACAATCGACAATCGGATTGTAGAAAATGCAGAAATATATAATCCCTCTATATACATACATATATATATATATATATACGCGTCTTTCTCGATATAAATTAAGAATAAACGATAAACGGAATTACGAGAATATTCTCCCCTTATTGATAGCTGTTTCATTATTTATAGCCCATCAGCAACGCGCGAGCGTCCAATGAATGAATTAACACTTTACCGGCGGTATAATCAACGGAGTGACGAACGGCCGTGCGGCTACTTCTATCAGCTTTAGCTGGTATATAAAAGGACGCCGCGCTAAATCGATGTGGGCATTGAACTTTTATTAAAAACAAAATGTCATCGGTCGCCATGGTGACAAAAAAAGAAACGCTGTCACTCACCCACGCATTAGACGTAAACAACGCCGTCACACGAATGCTCGTTTGCGACGATTGTTGTCGCTCAGACAAGACGTTGTGTCGACCTTGAAGCACTTTGCGTCGATCGATCTCACATTCCGGTGTCCCAGGTCGGCGGCCCGACCACTCCGATTACGAACTACCGCGCGAGTTCCTTCTACCACGCCGCTGTCAATCGCGTATGTCGTACTTGCGTTTTCACCCCGATGCAACACAATCAACTAATTAACACGAGCTGACCGAAAACGACGTTTGAGCACATCGGCAAGTGTGCTGCCACAGGCTCGTCGTCGCAGTTCGCATCTCTTCGAAACTCCCGCCATCAATCGCACACGTTCAATCTTCACCGGGACACACTCGCACGCGTTCGAATCGCGCAACCCCGCGCGCACGGGAATCTGTCTATCTAACGTCATCGAGTAAACATAACCCCGCAGGAAAACACGGATGTCTGAGCGCGTCGCCGTCGAGACGACCGGCATCGACGAAGCTTCGCTCTTCGCGATGGCGCCAACGAGTTGAGGTTATGAATCACGCGAAAAGTCGGATCTTCACACACCGAGAGACGGTTGTCATCGGCCACGCGTTGTCGCTCGGCCGTCGACACCAGGCACGCCGCGCGAAAACATGTTTCGCTGAGCGCTCTCGCGCAGCTCGAAGCGCAATATCGGTATACGCACTCACGAATGACGACGAACTCGGCTGGCGAATCCTCACTTGGCCGGAAATCACCGCGGATCTTGCACGACGACAGTTGACCGAGAAGGACGAAGCGCCAACTTCGGAGCGTTGCGTTTGCCCCCTCGCGGCACTACGCCGCTCCACGTCCACATGTGACCGCACCGAAACTGGGGCACTCTCACGCGCACGTCTCTCTCTTTCTCTCTCCTACTCCCTCTCTCACCTTCCCTCTCTCCCCGAATCGGTCTGTCCGTTTTTCCCCGAGGCGGAACGAAGCACAGAGCGCTCGTGAACACTCCGCCGTCGCTACCCTCGCGATCGGCCGGTGCCGCGAAAAAAACGGTAAACGACTGCTCCGGAGCTTTTCCACAGACGCGAGCAGAACGGAGCGAAAAAGCGCGGAAACCCTACGCTTGCGAATCGGCCCGGTGACTGAGTCGAGCGGTGGGCGCGGGGGTAGAGGCGCGAAGCAGCGAGCGACCACTAGAGGGGGAAAACCGAAGATACACCCCATGCCGCGCGCATGCGGCATCTGGTCCGTCCTTGTCTCTCATGGCGCGCAACCCTCGCGAGCCGGTGCTCCTCGTCGCTCTGCGTTCATCCGCTCGTCCTTCTCTTCCTTTCTTCCCTCCTTATCCGCCACCCCTACGCATCTGTCTGCTTCTCGCTCGATCCGCGCGCGTCCACCCGCACTACTTTCCCTCTCCTTTTCGCGTTCTTTCCTCGAGCGTCGTCGTTTCGTACCCGTTGCTTTGCACGCTCACCTGCTTTATCCTCTCGCACTTACCTTCGTAGCGCTGTACCTCTCTTCCCCTTCCTTTCTCTCTCACTCCTCTTTTATTTCCTCCCAGATTATTTCCTTCCCTCTTTTTCTTCACTATCTCCCAGCGCTTTCTCTGGTTTTCATTCTCTTGCTCTCGTTGATTCGCGTCTTCATTCTACTCACTCTTTCATTACTGTTTCTCTCTCTTTCTCTTCCTCTTTTTATGCATCCTCTCTTATTTCCTTCTCGTTTCCTACGATCGCTTCCACTTATCTAACATCCGTCTCCAGTTCACTCTCCTTTTATTTATACCATAACCTCAATTTGGCCGGCTTGCTCGAACTTCCTCGCGCACTTGCTGCCTCAGCCACGGTACCTTTATTACTGGCCGTTATTTCTCCGGAATGCTGTTAACCGTAACATTGTGAAATAATAAATTAATTTGTTCTCGCAGCATATACACAGTAATAGCGGTAGCCGTGTTTCCACGGACCATAGCGTTCCAGTCACGGTGTTTGGCGTCACGGCGGAAGGAACATCGAGATGCTGCCCACTCCGGTGCCTCGTAATCAGGAGTAGACAAGTAAGTGCCCCGACTCTCGCTACATCGTATATTCTCGGGAATGTGTTAGTGGCACAAATGCATCGTTGCAAGCACGTTCTCGCGCGCTAGCGAAATAAATAAATAACCGACGAAATTGAATCGATTATCAATACGTTACGTATAACCTGTACACAAGGTCGTATATATTATTTTTTATGAAAATCTCAAACATTTACACGCGAAGATGCGTAATGAAAAGCTCAGCATTATTATTCCGTGCAACTACGTACAACCGTGAATGTAGGTAACCGTGTTGATCAAATAACCACGCCAGTAGGCGAATGTAGAGTAGGACTCCGGCGGAAACATCTCACGATACTCGCGATAATGCTCGACGAACGAATGGCGTTGGTATATTTCACAATCTCTCTCTCTCTCTCTCTTTCTCTCTGTCTCTCTCTCTCTCTGTCTTCCTCCCTTTTTCAAATATATTCATATTTATTTATCATATAGCCTATTAAATATTCTCCAAGGGGGAAAACATATCCGTACTAATGCGGAGATAAATATTTTGTAGCTTTGATCTCGGTTACAAACGACAACATCCGTAAATGGAATTTTAATGCGCTCTGTACGAAGGTCAAACGCTTACTTACACTTACTATGCGAACCTTTTCGCGATGCTCCACCTCAACGTTCTCATGATTCGCCGTATTGTCGTATTTATTTTTTACGGTTTGTATTTTATACGCGCGGTAAAATAATATCTGCGAGAGAGCAGGTATTATCGGTCGACATTGAAGGAAACATTCTTTTGCTTTGATCTCGCGTCCACGAGAAAGCAACAACAGATTGAACTTTAATATATCTCTTAGAGAAATAAATTTTTTACTGGGAAATATATGTGTATATAAGCCCTGACATTCGTGTTTTTGCGTCATTATACGTCGAAACGCGATACTCATCACAATATTGTCGCCTTCTAAACATCACATGTAACAGTTAGCTTCTCTTCTCAGCTGCTCTCCCGAGTTTATGCGCTTCATACTCGACTCGCGATTAATTATTCACGTTTGCTCTTACTCTTCGATATTCCGAGAAATACGAAAGTTTCTGCAGCTCCTTTACCTGTACCATGTCAAACTGTTCGAAATAGCTATCGACATTGCATAATGCTCTCAACGTGGGATCGATTAATGTCAGTTTGTGGCGTATACGCCTCGACGAAACTGTCCCTGACATTTGTTATGAAAAAACCGATGCATTGGACATTGAACCCCGAACGGGAGAAACGAATCGACGTTCGTTCGCGATGTGTCGTGTTTTCCTCGGCATTCACACGACCATTCATCATTCTGGGCATGTACTGTCCAAAGTAAACAAATGTTGGTAAAAGTTTTACATTAATCAGACATCTATTTATTTAATTTCTGATTGATTTTTAACATAGTCTGGTCTATCAAAACTAAAAGTAAAAAATTTGACTTTTTGAACTATTTTGCTATTAAAAAACGCGTGATACACGAAGAGAAGACAGATTTTGGCAACTAATTATATGCATTCTAAAAAAATATAATTATATTTTTAGCGGAATATATTTTTTAAAACCTTAAGAAAACCTTAACTTTTCACAAAAACAATTATTTGTTATATTTAAATAAAAGAATTTAGGTTTAAGTATGTCATTAGTACCTACAAAATATATTTAGTATGTTTTATATAATTTTTCTCTCAGTGTACAGTAGATAAAAAACGAAATTCCACTAACTTTAAGAATATTGGCCCTATATTCCGCCAAAGATAAGATTATATATTTTTTAACGTGTTTTACTGAAATAAAAATAATATATTTGTTGCTGCAACTAAAAGTTTAGCTGCTACAGTAGCAATATCGGTTTTACAGCTAAATATGCGTTTACTGGTAGCTACACTTTAGGTATTCAACAACGTTACAACAAGATGTGTAGTTACTACACATAGATTCTTGCTGTCACAGTTAATTTTTTTCCGTATTTTCTGCCGCGAACATAGTAGATCATCTACGTGCGCGATAACGAATTTTTGTAATCATGTCCAATCGAGCGTGGAGGCGACTGGTAGTGATTTATGCCAATCGATTGATGCCGCGTAGACGCATTTGGACAAGTCGCGGGCAAAGTCAGTTAGTCGATCGTATCTCGCCGCTGTCCGCTCTGTCCAACCGTGTCGACAAACTCGTGTCTTACCTAAACGCGATGGCCAAACGGCGGGTCATGTACAGTGCGTCCGCACATACATGCTTACATACATACGTATATAATATACACGCGACAACGTGAGTTATAACAATGATCAGCTCGTTACCAACATGTCGGACCGAGAACCACAATAGGGCCCCAACCGGCAGCAGCGCTTTGCGTTGTCGCGCGACTGTTGTATGCCATGTATATGAGCATGATAATCGCAATACAACCGGCGAAACACCGGACGTATAATAGCGACAGGTTCGAGCGTTAGTCGCGGCCCGGCGAGTATTGTACGTCCACCATGACCCATGATCGATAGGTCGTGACATGACGACGTCGGGATTTTTGATAACGCACGAGTATGGACGATCGGCTCGTTAATTCCCTTTAATATCCGCAGTGACTGGCGACAAAACGCGCGCACTGCCACGTCTCCTGTAATTTTTTTCCTTCCCTTTCTCTTCCGCCGTCGTTGTTGTTGTTGTTGTTCTCGTTGCGTGTCGCCCACGCCGCGCTCTCGATGCGCAATATCGGCGTGTGACAGACGCTCTTTATTCACTGTGAAACTCTTATCGCTGTCGCTTCGACGCATTTTAATTCGATGGGAGATTCAATACACACGCACTTCCGCGCAAACGATCGGGCGTGACGTGACATTTAAATGCCGCCGTGTATAAATATTAAGCTCTCTCATTGCTCTGAATGCTTGGCGGCCGGCCGGGAAATTCTGGTAACGACCTGCCGGCGATCGCCGTAACTCGCGAATGGATCTACGAGTAAAAAGTTACAACGAAATCGTATATTCTGTCCGCACGCGAGAGAGCGTAATTTGAAGTTACTTCCCTCCGAATGCCATAAAATATCCACAAGGATACCGCGGTCCAGTGGGAATCGAACGGTAGGCCGATCCATTCGCGTAATCTTCGCAGGACGGCAGAGGATATTTCCGTCCCTGTCAATCCCCGCGGCGTGAAATGTCCCTACCGCTGTCGCGTGACATTGACGTTTCCCACTCTTGCCTCGTCATTCAATATTTTCCTCTCTACTTTACGACCGTTATCCAACGCTCTCTTATAAAACGATTGTACAGATAAAAGTATCACTCTACTGCTAAGAATTATTCAGTTTACTTTCCTTTCCTTTTAAATATGTAATGGTGATCTTTAGTAAATAATATTTTTTTGGCAACAGTCCTAAAATATACTAATGTCAAATTTGAGAAGAACTCAATTATAATATATTCAAACGATGAATTTATTATCTTATAAATTATCATATAAAAAATCATCATATAAAATTTCGTCCAACAAACAATTGATTCAACTCTCATGTACTGAGCAAATTGCGAATTTTTGTCTCAATTTAATATTCTTGATTGAAATACTACAAGCAAATCTACCCAAAAAGTACATTCCGATTTCTTTCCAATTTGGCACAAATGTAGAAGTATAAAAAATATTTAGGTCATATTTTTTCATTTTTTCATTTTTGGCCCACTTTAAGTTTTACGGGCAGTTTATAGCTTTTTAATGTTCTCACTTCTATCATCAACAAGTACAACAAGAAAATATAAGAAATAAAATTGAATACAAGATATAGTTAAATAATTTTAATAAAATCGGCATAGCTGAGACACGAACTATTCTAAATTTCTTTAGCCGAGATTCCAACCAAAGTATTTTAAATCTGCGCTAAATTAGTCAAAAATGGTTCGAATCTCGGGCAAATCGAGAGAAATCCGGCAATTTTAATTAACATTTTAACAAAATCGACATAGCTGAGACTATTCTAAATTTCTTTACTAGCCGAAATTCCAACTGAAATATTTCAAATCTGTGCTAAATTAGTCAAAAATGGCTCAAATCTAAATTAAACCGAAAAATTAGTTG